AATCTTTACTAGAATAGCAAAGATATTTGCAAAGAGTTCAAACGATCAATGCAATTGAAGTTTGATTTCAGATTTGGGAAGGATGTCTTATCCATAATTTGTTACATAGTTTGTTATGCATGGGGTCTACCCTTACGTAGTTTGTTATACATGGGGTCACCCCGTTAGGTTATTTTAACTTTTCTGTTATTTCGTTTCCGTTGTATATAAACATTTCTAATTCAATAATATGAAATAAGAAAAGTTGTTTTGATCATGTTCGCATGTATTCTCTCACGTTTCCATTTTTCATTCATCATGGTGCTAAGATATTTGAGATGGTATCAAGGCCAAATTTTATTCATTTCCAAAACATGTAACTTAGCTTGTATAGCCTTGATCCAACAATCATGGCGAGAGGTCTCAACATAGGAAGAGGGTTCAATATTAGTTGAGATGGAGAAAATAAAGTGACAAAAATTGGATGAAAGACAGGAATAAGATAAAACAGAGCTTAGAGGATACCTATCACCCGATAAGGAATCGATACCCGTTGTAGCAAGAGCACGATGGTAATCTTGAAGGTAAATGGGTGGGTGTCTAGGACAAGTAGAACGGCATAAGGTTGAGGGAGGTGAAGGTGAGGGTGGAGGTATAATGGGGTCTTCATTTGTGAAATGAATGGGGGAAGGATGGGTACATGAAGAAGGTGTCTGTGAAGGATAAAAGGATGGGAAGTGGTCTTCATAGAAAGTAATATTACGGAAAGTGGTGATGACATTAGAATGAAGATCATATACAAGATATCCCTTAGTGTTTTGTTTAAAACCAAGAAAAATGCATGGATGAGCCTGAGGATCTAATTTTTGGCGATGAACTTTGAGAGTGTTGATGTAACAAAGATAGCTAAAAACACGTAAATTCGAGATATCATATGGTTGACCATAAAGAATTTCATATGGAGAAATATTGTTTAAAAAAGGGGTTGGAATGCAGTTGATTAAGTGAGTGGCATGAGGAAGTGCAAAACACCAAAAACTAGGCAATAAGTTTGCTTGAAAAATTCAAAATGAAGAAGGCATCTTCATTTGCCGACGAAGGTATGCACGAGAGATACTAGCTCGATTCAATATGTTAGACAATAATCCCATACTAGCTCGGTTCAATATGTTAGACAACAATCTCGTACGTAATCTCATGGTACCAGGAACCCTGTTATCCAGAGATGACGAGGCAATACTAGTAGATGCCACAAAGTTTAAGCAAGTCATTGGTAGCCTCATGTATTTAACAACTACACGACTATACTTAATGTTTGGAACAAGCTTAATAAGTAGATACATGGCCAATCCCAAGGAATCTCACTGGTCCGTAGTTAAACGGATTCTCAGATATCTTAAGGGCACAATTAAATATGGTCTCTTCTATAAAAAGGAAGCAAAATGAATTTTACTGCATATAGCAATAACTATATAAGAGATTCAGATGATAGGAGAAACACATCTGGGACAATATTCATAATAGGAACAACAACTATATCATGGGTTTCAAAGATACAACCAGTAATAAGCCTGTCTACCACTAAGACTGAATATATTGCTGTAGCATTTTGTGCATTGTCAATATATTTGGCTTAAAAGGATTTTAGAGCATCTTGGAATAGAAAAAATCGAAGCTACTAAGATTTTATGTACAATAATTCAACCATTCAACTATCTAAAAATCCTAGTTTTCATGACAGAAACAAACACATTGCATTAAGGTTTCATTTCCTCGTAGATTTAGTTAATGATAAAATAATTAAATTAAGAATTTACAGTACAACTGAGCAACTGGTTGACATAATAACAAAAACCTTGAAGCTGGATCAATTTGAGTAGATCAGACGTATGCTTGGAGTGTTGGAAGCTACTAAAATAAGCTAAAAGCTTAAGGGAGGGATTGTTTACTATTATTATATGTTTTAGTACTTGTTAAATAATTGCCCTGATTTCTAGAAAGAATGTATGCGCGTAGGTTGTTAGCCAGTTTATATGTAAAGACTTATAAAGTTATCTCCGGTATCTGAATAAATTATACAGTTTTCATGAACATTTAAATTACATCACTAAATTTTCTTTGAATCTTAAAAGATTAATTAAGCATTATATCCTAACTAGATTAACACACTAATACCAATAATCATGCATAATATATCACTAAAAGAAAAAAAAAAAAGACAGAGGACTATAATACTTATTCAACAATAAATTTGTATTTCAGAATAGATTAATATAAAGAGTCATTGTACTATTAAAATCTTCTTTATTCAAAAATCACTAGTACATAAATCACTTTTAACATCGGTTCCTAAATGAACCGATGTAGAAAGTATTTTTATCAAATTAAGATAATTGGTACTGGTAGAATTTGAACCCGAGTACCTTAGAATTGAATATTAATACTTCAATCACTAAACTACTATGATTTTCTGATAATAACTTATAAATAAATTATATTTATATATAAATAAAAATGTATATCCATGTAAATATAAAAATATAAAATATATAAATATAAAATATATAAAATATATAAAAACAAATACAAATATATTTATATGTTGGATGTGAGAGCGCGCTCGAGGGTGAAAGTGTGTGTCAAGTGGGTTTTCAAAATTTAATGTCAAATTTGTGAGCGTGTCTCTTTATATGAATTTGTAATTTAATGATAGAATATAATCTTTATAATTAATTTATGTAATGATATAAAATAAAGAAAAAAATTATTTTATATCATTATATAAATAAATTATAAAGATTATATTTTGTCATTAAATTATAAATCCATGTAAAGAGACTCACTCACAAATTTGATATCAAATTTTGAAAATTCACTCGACACACACTTTCACCCTCGAGCGCACCTCACATCCAAAATATAAATATATAAATATATTTATATTTGTATTTATATATTTTATATTTATATATTTATATGAATATACATTTTTATTTGTACATAAATATAATTTATGTATAAGTTATTATTAGAAAATCCTAGTAGCTTAGTGATTGGATTATCAGCCTCCAACTCTAAGGTACTGGGTTCGAATCTTGTCGATGATAATAATTAGGAAGATTATGAATAAATAAATAAAAATAGACTTTCTACGTCGATTCTAGAACCGACGTTAAAAGCTTATTTTCTACTAGTGAATATCTAAATTTGTCGACTTATCAATATATTTATTATTAAATATTAACGAATAATTTTTAAATAAGGGTAAATAACACAATAGTAATGAGTAATGAATAATTTTTTAAAAGCCAAGACCGCTAAATGGGATTCAACCTCACCATATTTTAATAAAAACATTTTCAATGTAACATATAACAATAACAAATTCAACAACGTATAAAAAACAACATGTGTCAACTTCTACCAAAAATAGATAGCAAATCCTTTTATGAAATTGATCTAACTTCTACCAAAATAGAAAAACTAATTCCCGTAAGATTGAATGAAAGATCCAATGATTTGAGATTTCTCTATGGGCCATATTATTTTGGGAAAAGCAAATAATTTATGATGAACACAATGAGTTTTAAGATAATGATTGAGTTTTTCTAAGATGAAATCCTAGTGAAACCATGTAATACTAGCGTGGATTAGTAGATAATGTGTTTTGAATTCAATTTGGGTCATGGTCTAGGACGTGTTAGGGAGATAGTTTACGTTAATTTAGGTTTTAGGGTTCATCAATTGTTCGATTTCGGTTTTGGTTTAATCCAATCAGATCATACTTATTAAATTAATTAGATTAAATCATTTAGTTTTAATCAATATCAATTCGATTTAGTTCAATCAAATAACTTCAGTTGAATTTGATTTAATCGTATTGATTTAGTTTCATTCAATCATACTAGTTTATTCAGTTTAAGATCTAGGTTAAGATAAATCAATCGATTTTATTTTTTTATTTAAGACAAATTTATCCGTTTATTTTAGAATTCAGATAGACGGATCCATCTAAACCCGAATTAAGTCTTATTTAAAATTTTAAATCCTAAATTCATATTTTTATTATGACAATTCTAATTTTAGAAATATTAATAATAAAATTTTAAGTATAAATTTATATATTTATTTAAAATTAAATATAAATTAAATATTTAAATTTTAAACTCATCTCTCTTCGTCTATTTTTTTTAATATTGGTAATGAAATTTTAAATATAAGTTTATATTTTATCCAAAAGGCAATGTATGATATTTCACTTAATCTCATAATATTTAATAACTAATTGCTTACTTTATATTTTAAAGGTAAAGTAATTAATAATAAAAATTAATTAAATATTTATCTTTATTATTCATAAAAAAGTACTTTGTTTAATTTTAAAAAAAATAATGACTTTTTACATTTTAAGGGATTATAATTAATTTTGTCTAGCCTTATTAATCCCAGTTGGTTTGCAAAATAAAAGTTTAAAAAAGATAATTTTATGAGATACATTGTCAACCACTAAAAATAAGATTTGAACTCTCCTATAGTGATGTGCATGGGCTCTATAAGCTCCTCCTTAGCTTCCAACCAGTGTGAGCTTAGTTCTTGATGTTTTCAAAATAATTTTTTTTTTCAGCTTAAAAGAATTATTCACTACTACAGTAGAGTATTCGTTTAAGGAAAAATAAGATTATTTTCACGAATTTTTCTTTATCTTATTTTTCTATTAATCTCTTCTTCTTTTTTATTATATTGCATATCACATTTATTATTAATTTTTTAAATCCTTTCATTTTTCTACCTCAATTTAGTTTGGTATTTGCACATATATGTTATTTTACTAGTATAAATTTTATAACCTTTTCATATTTACCATTTCATTCAATTCAGCTGATGACTTCCTCATTGCCACTGTGAATCTGAGATTGAAAACATGACTTGTTGTATGAAAAAAGAGTGGAGGGCTTTGGGTTACAAACTGTTAAACTAAATCAGAATTCCATTGAAGTTATCAGAACAAGGAATGGAGAATATTAATTAACACTTGACTTGATGGAACAACAATTTTTGAGGCGTCTGTGGTAGCTTGGGGTGGTGGCAATAATATTCTGAACTCTCTGGAACTCGGAGACTCTGCAGGGTATGGTTATTACACCTGGATGATCGAACCCGTAAACTTTCTCTGCGTCCTCCAATAACTTTCCGATGAGGGGGTGATTGAAGTGAGTAACTGGCACCAAAACACGTTGCTTCTCATCTTCGGATTCGCCTACACACACCGTCAAATGTCCCTTTGGTAGATCTATTGGGCCGTGGCCGAACTGAACATACTTGGGTTCCAACTTTGGTAAACAAAATTTATTGGTTCCTTGTCCAAAACACCGCACCAATTTGAAGATTACACACATGGGGTTCTTCTGTGACTTTCTGATCATCCTCACGGCCAATAGAAGCTTAAAGGGGAGATTTTCAAATGACTGCTTATTCTTTCATGGTTTCATGGTTTGATCATGGTCCTTTCGTAAAGACTGGAATAAAAATGAAGTTGTGATTTACTTGGCATTGTAATTTTGTCGGTGTCATTTGCAAAATGATCGATAATATAAAGGAAAAGCTGTATGGTCTGCAGATACACGCACCTGAGAGTTGAGACAAAGAGCAACTAGTCAGGTGGCTAATGGTCCAAATATTTATCTATGTTGTCTTCTATCGAAATATGGAAGATTTGTCTTGTTAACTTTGAAAATAACTCTTGATTTTTCTCGACCATTATATATTCCTTTTCCTTCGACATTGTCTAGAATGGTTATTCATTACAATTATGTAACTTGGAAAAAGACAAAGAAAACAAGATATGATAACAAAGTAATAAAAAACCAATTCATGGAGTAGCTTGGCGATGAACATTAGTTAGGTCTGATAAATTTTGTAATCCCAACTGATTGAGAATAGTAGGATTTTGGACTACTTGACAAAGAATTTGTTGGATCCGAATCTATTAAGGACGATTGAGTTTGGATAAGTTGGATCTTTTTGTGATACTTCATATATATATTTTTGTTCAAAAAGTTGGATTTTTAAAAAATACCATTCATAGTTTGTTAAATACTTTTAAAATTTTATTATTATGAAACTAAGTTAGATGAAAAATTCTTAAACTACGTGTCCTTTGTTGAAATATTGGCAAGCGTACCAAATTATCAATCGCAGTATAGTATTTCGATTAAATAAAAGTCGATCACACGAGGAACAGTTTCAATAGAAATTCTCAATTATGCTTACTAAGTAGATTAAAACAGATTAGGTTTTGCAAATAAGAGTTGAATTGAAATTAAATGACAAAGACTTGTAAATTGTTGAGAAAATATAAATTAAAGGTACTTAGGATTGACTTCCTTCCTTATCCCTCTTTTGTAATGGCTAAATCAATTAAGAACGTCAATTAACCTAACAATGTTGATGCCACCTACTCAAATCATCCATGTTGATTCCTCACACATGAAATTCATAAGAAAACCTAATAAATGTTGATTCCTCACACAATTAACAGATTTTCCAGCATTAGGGTTAGGGTGTTAAGCAATTGATACATTCATTCCATTCCTGACAATTAACGTAACAAATATTCTTATCATGATCTAGGGTTCAAGATATATTTTCCAATCATACCTCAAACAATCAAGAATAAATCATTCCAAAGCATAAAGGATAAGAATAACAACATCAAAGCATAGATTAATATATCAAAATATCACCATGATACAAAAGAGTTCAAAGAAAGTGCACCGAATCCTAAGAGAATGAAGTTAGCCACTCATGTTGGCCATTACAATGCTTCAATTGATGAAGATTGGATAAAACCCTAACAGTAGTCGTGCCTCCTCTCCTCCAAGACTACTTGCTTTTCTCAAAACACAACTTATCTTTTTATAAGAGAATTTGGGTCAGGCCTTGCATCATTCATTCGCTTAAGCGCTCTTCTTTCTTTCAATTTTACTTCAATTATGTTGACAATTGTGCTCATTACTCTTGTATCAAGGTATTCTCGAATTCATCCTATATTGAGAGAAAAATATATTAGAATTAACATAAGTTAAGTGATTTCATAACAATTCAAGGCATAATTATATCAACTTTTTACCACTTAACAACTCCCCCCAACCTAGAATCTTGTTTGTCCCAAGCAAAGTAATTTTTCCAAAACAAAATCATCACCTATTATCTTTTTCTCTTCTAGAACCACAACATAAAAATTTTCAGAGGTGATGCTCACAACTCCAAATGAAAATAGAACATATAAGCATTCAAGTTATAGAAACCAACAAAGAATAATTAGTCCTCAACTATCCTCAGAGAAGCATGATCTCTCAAATAGAGTTATATATACTCATCTCTAATTCTCACAGGTAAATGTTTATCTCATTCAATCACTTCATTTAGACAATCCAATATTGTTAATCATCTTCAAGCAATCAACAATTGTTAAACAAGACTTAAATCAAAAGGTCTTTTGAGGCTTGTAATGAGGCTGGACTAAGAAAGAATTATTGGTTTTTCTGGGATATACAAAAATATTTGAGAAATTCAACTCATATGAATGATTCTTGATTAACAATTTCTCAAGTCAGGTTTCAAACTTTATGCTTTTGTACCTAACACAATGACAATGAGTTAATAATCTCACAAGTTATTACCCCCTTTTGACTCTTTTTTTTTTTTTTTTTAACATGTATCCTTTTTTTGGCTTTGCAAATTTTTAAACTTTGCTTTTCCTTTTTCTTTACACTCTTTTTTTTTTTTTTAACAATAACACCCCAACAATTAATGTAGGACAACAATAGCAATACCCAACAATAAGAAAAATAGTGACATTCATACTCATTTCCTTTCTCAAATATAGGAAGGTAGATAAATAGTGTTTAGGCTTAAGGGTTCTGTTTAAGAAACAATATTAATTTTATTTTATTTTTTGGCTCAGAAGGGGTTCAAATGGATGTCCTATAATTAATGCATGGTTGGCTATTTGGCTCTGGGTTATATCTACTACAAAGAAAAAAAATGTCTTTATCATTTTCAAGTCTTGCTAACATGTAATCACATCAAAGAATCAACCAATATCAGTTATCATCACAAAGTGTTGACACTCAATTTATCTGTTTGTGGTACTCTGCTCACCTGGGTTTTGACTAGCTTCTCTAATTCAGTTAATTCCTAATTTTCCTCATCAATTCCTTTTCACTATCATACTCAATATCCCAAAATCGCTTGTTATTGGAAACAATCAAAATTATTTTTCACATTCTATATTTGAATTAGACAATAAGCAATAATCTCATATATGAATCTAAAATAAATTATGGGACAACAAGGGAATTCAAAATTTAAAATAAAACAATTAAAAACATTAAATTAAAAACAAAGGAATTAAAAACATTAAAAGTAAAGTAAGTTTCCTCCCTCATTTTCTTCACTTGTCATGTACTCCTTATCTTGTGCCTCAGCCTCAGCTGCAGACTTTCTCACCCCCTCCAGAAAAGTTGGACTGTCCCCAGGCTATTGAAGTAAGGCTTCAAAGTCTTGAGGAGAAATGCACTGTGTACCTGGAGCAATTTTGCAAAGAAAGAACCTAAGGAAGAAAAATGCACAAAAAAATTTAAAGCTGTAAAAAGAAAAAAAAATTCAAAACATTGGGTTGCCTCCCGGGAGCGCTTGTTTAACGTCTTCAGTTTGACGCCTATTTGCTTTAGGGCTCATGCAGGTGAGTGATCAAGGTGATATATACGCATTCTCCATCCCTTAACTGTCCTTGTGGGAACGAATTTATTCTTTTCATTGCGAATAACCTTACAACTGTTAGAGATTGGATAAATCATATCTGCTTCAAGAGGTTTCAGTACCTCTCTTTGAATAACTTCCTTTATAGTCATACTAAGATGTCTTTGGGGTTGTGCAACACGCTTGTAATCTTGTTTTTCAGTTAAGATGATTAATTCCTCCAAAGTGTCTATTCTGAGACAATCTTTTTTGTCTTCCGGTTGTTGTACAACTTCAAACAGATTAAAATTAACTTCATCATCTCCACTTCTAATTTTCAACTTGCCCATGTCAACATTTATAATTACTTTGGCAGTCTTCATAAATGGCCTTCCCAGGATCAATGGGACTTCCTCATTTTCCTCCATGTCCATAATCACAAAATCAACAGGAAATATAAATTTGTCCACTCTAACTAAAACATCTTCTGCTACTCCATAAGGAATATTTAGAGATCTGTTAGCTAGCTGCAATGTCATTCTTGTAGGCTTTACTTCCAAATCTCCTATTCTTTTGAGCATAGATAATGACATGAGGTTTATACTGGCCCCTAAATCAAGCAATGATTTTTTCACCGGTAATTCACCAATTGTGACTGGAATAGTGAAACTTCCAGGGTCCTTGGACTTTTGAGGCAATGATTTTTGGAATATAGCACTGCATCCTGCCTCTAACTCTACTGTTTCATCAGTAAATCTTCTTTTCTTAGTTAAGAGCTCTTTCATGAATTTGGCATATGTTGGCATTTGCTCCATAGCTTCCACAAATGATATATTAATTTGCAATTGCTTGAAAATATCCATGAATCTTGCAAATTGTCTTTCTTTATCTATTTGTGAAGGAGCCTTGGGATACGGTAACTTCTCTACAAATGGTTTTTGACTCCCTCCTTTTTCTATCTTCTCTTCGTTCTTCTTATTAGGAATATGTTTTTCTTTATTATTCTCATCTTCTTGCTCTTCATCTTCTTTTACCAAAACTTCTTCTTCAACAACTATATTGTCACCAATCCCCTTACCTACAACTTTTCCACTCCTTGTAGTTATTGAATTGCATTGCTCCTTTAGATTGGTTTGTGTGCTAGCTGAAAACTATCCTCCTTGTTGCTGCTCAGATAATTGCTTAGTCAATTGGCCTATTTGGGTCTCTATATTTCTGAATGAAGCCTCAGTATTTTTCTGATTAACCATAATGCTTTGCATAAATTTTTCTACAATATCCTCCAATTTACTTATTCTGTCATGCACTGAAGGATAATGTTGTTGTTGTTGTTGATATGGAGGTTGCTGATATGACTGTTGTTGAAATGCAGGTTGTCCTTGTTTCCACCCAAAATTTTGATTCTGATTTTGATTCCCTCTCCATCCTTGTGCAAAATTATTCTGATAATTATTGAGATTAGGAAAATTACCTTGTCTGCCTTGACTACTACCTTGGGCCCCATATAATTAGCTTCTTCTTGCTGAATGTTGCCTTGATAAGAGCATTGTTCATTTGAATGATCACCTCCACACAAATCACAACTCAACTGTTGATTAGGAATAGTTTGTACTGTGTGCATTTGTTGAGGTAATTTCTATTTTCTGGTTCAATGCTTCAATTTGTTGGGTTATAAGTTTATTCTGGGCTAAGATAACATCTAAGCTGTTAAGTTCAAGAACTCCCTTCTTTTGAATTGGATGTCTATCATGTTGGGCCTGTTGGTCTGTAAAAGCTAGTGCATCAATAATTCTTGTGGCATGATCAATTTCTACATCCAACATGGATCCTCCTACTGCAGCCTCTAATAACATCTTTGCATCATGTCGCAAACCAATATAGAAAATATTCAACTGAGAAACGTCATCAAATCCATGATTTGGGCAACTTCTCAACAGTGATTTAAATTTCTCACAAAATTCCTTTGCCCTACCTTGCTGCATAGCACAATTTCTAAGAGTTCTTCTAGGTGGATTTGCATTTGGGTTTTGATTTGGATTTTTATTTGGATATGGATTCGAATTCAGATTTGCTCCTTCTTCTGCCATATCTTCTATAATTGGGTCTGGTAAATCAAGTGTGAAAGAAGAATTAGCAGATTGTCTTGTAGTTTGTTCTTGAGTTTCCCTTCTTCTGAAGATACTTGTCCTCTTAAGCGCATACATCAAAAGAGTAACTCAAGCAAATATTAGCACAAACTAAAAACTAAATAATAATAATAATAATAATAATAATAATGATAATGATAATGATAATAATGATGATAATAATAATGATGATAATGATAATAATAATAATAATAATAATGATAATGATAATAATGATAATAAAGATAATGATAATAATGATAATGATAATGATAATAATGATAATAATGATGATAATAATAATGATAATAATGATAATGATAATAATGATAATAATAATGATGATAATGATGATAATAATGATAATGCTAATAAAAAAAATAGAAATAAAAATAAAATACTCAATAAGCTAAACAAAGAATTCTCAAAGAACACTGTTTCCTGGCAACGGCGCCAGAAATACTTGTTGAAATATTGGCAAGTGTACCAAATTATCAATCGCAGTATAGTATTTCGATTAAATAAAAGTCGATCCCACGAGGAACAGTTTCAATGAAAATTCCCAATTATGCTTACTAAGTAGATTAAAACAGATTAGGTTTTGCAAATAAGAGTTGAATTGAAATTAAATGACAAAGACTTGTAAATTGTTGAGAAAATATCAATTAAAGGTACTTAGGATTTGCTTCCTTCCTTATCCCTCTTTTGTAATGGCTAAATCAATTAAGAACGTCAATTAACCTAACAATGTTGATGTCACCTACTCAAATCATCCATGTTGATTCCTCACACATGAAATTCATAAGAAAACCTAATAAATGTTGATTCCTCACACAATTAACAGATTTTTCAGCATTAGGGTTAAGGTGTTAAGCAATTGATACATTCATTCCATTCCTAGCAATTAACGTAACAAATATTTTTATCATGATCTAGGGTTCAAGATATATTTTCCAATCATACCTCAAACAATCAAGAATAAATCATTCCAAAGCATAAAGGATAAGAATAACAACATCAAAGCATAGATTAATATATCAAAATATCACCATGATACAAAAGAGTTCAAAGGAAGTGCACCGAATACTAAGAGAATGAAGTTAGTCACTCATGTTGGTCATTACAATGCTTCAATTGATGATGAAGAATTGATGAAGATTGAACAAAACCCTAACAGTAGTCGTGCATCCTCTCCTCCAAGACTGCTTGTTTTTCTCAAAACACAATTTATCTTTTTATAAGAGAATTTGGGTCAGACCTTGCATCATTCATTCGCTTAAGCGCTCTTCTTTCTTTCAATTTTACTCCAATGATATTGACAATTATGCTCATTACTCTTGTATCAAGGTATTCTCGAATTCATCCTATATTGGGAGAAAAATATATTAGAATTAACATAAGTTAAGTGGTTTCATAACAATTCAAGGCATAATTATATCAACTTTTTACCCCTTAACATCCTTTGAATACATTCATTTATTGACGAATTCAGTTCCCAACATTTTTGGTTTGGTTAAGGTCATATGGTTGATGAAATCCATATTGCACCAAAACTCAATGGTTGTTTTGGGTAATTTTAGAGTGAAGAATATATAAAATATTTTCATTGTTTGTTTAGACCGAAGATGGGAAGGATATTTGCTTAAATAATCAATTTTCTTCTATAATATCATGATTTCCAATGGATTTCACCTTGACCTTTACTTCGTTTTTACATTCCTATTCAGTTATCTCGAGGCACGGTGAATAGCCCAGGCCACCACAGTTCTATAATATAGCCAACTTTATATTATTAAATATTGTGATTAAAATAAATTTTATCAAAACTTTTCAATATTGAAGACTTTTGTTAAAAAATTGTCAAATGGTACAAAATTTGCAGAAATATTAGTAAAAAAATCATTGGATGAACATCATACTAGTGATACTAATTAATAACACATGTTCGGATGTAATTTCATTTTCAAATATAAAATAAAATAATTAGATATGGAATCATCACATCATTAAACTAAATTTATGTTTGAAATTATAAATTTTATTTAATTAATTATTAGATTTGAATTCAACTATTTACATGAACAATAATGTCTCTATATAATATTTTTTTCATAACAACAAACAAATAAAAATAAAATCATTCAATATCATTTTTTTTTAAATTCCAGTTCATTTTGGATAAAATTTTAATTCAAAATAACTTCAATCCTCGTGACCAACTTGACAACTACTAAAAAAATATCATAAACGAATGTCTAATATTAAAAATAAATAAAAGGAAGGATTAGAGAACAAGGTGGAAATAAAATTCTCCTCATCAAAGGAGAACTATTTGAGCAGCACATGGTAAAAAAAAAAAAGACAAATTATATCCTCCAAAGCAAAGTCCGACCCTACCAGCCAACCTCGTCGTCGAAACCCAAATTCCCAAATAAGCGCAAAACCAAAGAGAATCGCGACGCTGATTCTCCCTCGTCACAGCAAAACGTGGCCGCCAAGACGGCCGCACAGCGCCTCGCTCGCGTTATGGCATCTCAGAACGCCATCGCCGATGATGGCGAAGACGATCTCGATTTCCACCACATTAATCTCGTTAATTGCTCTCTTGACATTAACATCGGGCTCTATATCAGTATGAGGGTCTGGACTATCTCAAATCTATAAGTTGACATGGCCTTCTCAAGCTCCTCCTCGGCAAACTTTGCTATATCATTCTTCTATTGGAAAACAGAATCTGTGGGGAAGTGGTCAAAGGAGATCACCTTTCCCACTACACAAAAAGAGCGACGTGTTAGGATATGATATCATAGGAAGAGGTGATATTAACATCAGAACCTCTAATGGAAACGTGTGGACTTTGAATAATGTCAGACATATTCCAACCTTAAAGAGAAACTTAATATCTATAGGGCAGTTGGATGATGAGGGACATTACACCACTTTTGGAGATGGACATTGGAAGGTAATGAAAGGTAATTTTGTTGTTGCTCGTGGAAAGAAGCAAGGATCTCTCTACATGATTGCAGATGAGGATATGATATCAGTTGCAGAAGTTGACAACAATTCCTCCTTATGGCATCAGAGGCTTGGGCATATGAGTGAGAAAGGAATGAAGCTCATGATATCAAAAGGTAAAATACCTAACGTGAAGCATGTTGACGTTGGACCTTGCGAACATTGTATTTTTGGAAAGCAGAAAAATGTTAGCTTCTCAAAAACAAGTAAGTCGTCTAAAGTTGAAAGACTAGAACTAGTGCATACGAGATGTTTGGGAGCCGGCTTCGGTGAAATCCCTTGGAGGTTCACAATATTATGTAACCTTCATTGATGACTCTACAAGAAAGGTATGGGTTTATTTTCTTAAAAATAAATCGATGTGTTTTCGTGTTTAAAAGGTGGAAAAAGGAGGTTGAGACTCAAACAGGTTTAAAGGTCAAATGTTTGAAGTCTGATAATGGTGGAGAATATGACAGTGAGTCAATTCAAGGAGTTTTGTTCGAGAGAATGGGATCGGAATGATCAAGACAGTTCAGGAACACCAGAACAAAACGGTGTGGCAGAAAGAATGAACGAGAACCTTGAATGAGAGAGCAAGATGTATGAGAATCCGAGTCGGGATTACCCAAGGTATTTTGGGCGAGATGCAATAAACACAGCGACCTATCTCATAAACGAGAGGACCATCAGTTCCTTTAGACTATAAGTTACCCGAAGAAGTATGGTCTGGAAAAGAGGTAAATCTTTCACATCCGAAAGTTTTTGGTTGTGCTTCATATGTTATGTTAGACTCTAATAGTAGAGATAAATTGGACCCTAAGGCAAAACGTTGTTATTTCATTGGTTATGGATCTGACATGTTTGGCTACGAGGTTTTGGGATGACCAAAACAAGAAAATTATCGAAGTAGAAATGTTACTTTTAATGAAAACATGTTCTATAGAGACAGGATTGCGAGAATCTGCAAATGTAAATAAACGAGCTAGAGCAAGTATCATTAGAAGAAATTTCAGAAAGTGATGTAGTCAACCGAAGGCGAGAATATACAAGTAGAGCCTATGTCAGAGCCTGAGACGAGACACTGAACAAATAGTAGAGTCAGCAACTCCTGAAATCTTGGTTAGAAGATCTAGCAGAACAATTGTAGCACCACAAAGGTATTCCCCTTCATTGCATTATTTGTTGTTGATCGATCTTGGTGAGCCAGAGCATTTTCTTGAGGCTATGCAGGGAGATGAATCTATTAAGTGGGAGCTAGCAATGGAAGATGAGATAAAGTCCCTTCAGAAGAATAAAACATGGTCTTTAACCAAGCTACCAAAAGGAAAGAAAGTTTTGCAAAACAGGTGGGTCTATAGGTTGAAAGAAGAACCAGATGGCGGCAAAAGATATAAGGCTAGACTCGTAGTGAAAGGGTTCCAACAAAGACAAGGAATTGACTTCACGAAATTTTCTCTCCTGTTGTCAAGATGACTACCATCAGAGTTATCTTGAGTATAGTAAGCTGCGAGAAAATCTTCATTTGGAGCAGTTAGATGTCAAAGCTGCATTCTTACATGGGGATCTTGAAGAGGAAATTTTTATGACACAGCCAAAAGGTTTTGAAGTACAAGGCGGAGAAAATCTTGTATGCAAGCTTCATAAAAGTTTGTACGGATTAAAACAAGCGCCGAGACAATGGTACAAGAAGTTTAATGAGTTTATGAGAAACTCGGGATTTCGCGAGATGTGAAGAAGATCACTGTTGTTATGTGAAGAAATATGTTGATAGCTATATCATTCTTGCCTTATATGTTGACGACATGTTGATTGTTGGAGCTAATATGGCAGAAATTGACAAGTTGAAGAAACAATTGTCGAGAGAGCTTTGAAATGAAGGATCTTGGTCCAGCCAAGCAAATTCTTGGTATGAGAATCTCCCGAGATAGAGATAAAGGTATTTTGAACTTATCTCAAGAAAAATATATAGAAAAATTGCTTAGCAGATTCAATGTTGGGAATGCTAAAACCAGGAATACACCTTTGGGAACTCACTTAAAGTTTTCAAAGAGACAATCTTCTCAAACAGAAGAAGAAGAAAGTCACATGTCTAAAGTGCCATATGCATCTGCAGTAGGAAGCTTGATGTATGCTATGGTTTGCACCAGACCAGACATAGCACATGCAGTGGGAGTTGTGAGCAGATTTCTATCAAATCCCGGAAAGGAGCATTGGGAAGGAGTGAAGTGGATATTCAGATATTTGAAAGGCACTTCAAAGATGCATTTGTCTTTCAAGAGAAGTAATCTCATTTTACAGGGGTTTTCTGATGCAGACTTGGGAGGTGATCTTGACGGTAGAAATGTTAGGAACAAGACAATAATAAAGGAAAGAATGAAGGAGAGAAAAATAAACGACACAAGAATTTTAACGTGGTTCGGCTAAAATATGTATGCCTACGTCCACGACTACACTAGGAAGTATTTTTATTTCTGTGTGTATCTCAAACTTTACATAGGGTTGCTTATATAACAAAATAGAGAACCTCATCTCACAATCCTAATCGATGTGGGACTAAATCAAGCACCATAATACTAACAATTCTCCCACTTGGAGTTTGATTTACGTTACCACCTAGTGTAGTGCCTTCATCATCAATTTGCTCGAAGGCCAGTTGAGGCAATGCAAAGCCTCAACTTAGTTGTTGTAACAGTCTTGGTCAACATATCAGCGGGATTCTCTGCACCTGGAATCTTCAACAAACTCAAGTCTCCATCATTTATCAGGTTTCTGATAAAATGATACTTCAATTCAATGTGCTTACATCTGGAATGAAGGATTGGATTTTTAGCAAGACAAATAGCACTTTGACTGTCACTAAACAACGGAGAACCATCTTGTTCTCTTCCTAATTCTTTTAGAAGGTTCTTCAACCATATCATCTCCTTCGCTGCTTCTGAGATAGCTACATACTCTGCTTCAGTGGTTGAGAGAGAGACCCTTCCTTGAAGTTTAGACTTCCAACTGATAGCTGTACCACCCAATGTAAAAATATAACCTGTTGTGCTCTTTCTTGTTAGGAACAAGACAATAATAAAGGAAAGAATGAAGGAGAGAAAATAAACGACACAAGAATTTTAACGTGGTTCGGCTAAAATATGTATGCCTACGTCCACGACTACACTAGGAAGTATTTTTATTTCTGTGTGTATCTCAAACTTTACATAGGGTTGCTTATATAACAAAATAGAGAACCTCATCTCACAATCCTAATCGATGTGGGACTAAATCAAGCACCATAATACTAACACGACGCGTGGCGATAACATAATGCGGAGAAGGAAAGGAGCAACGAGAAAGGTAAAAAAAAAAAAAAAAGGCGTTTGTTTGGTGCGAAGAATGTGAAGAGATTATATGTGAGAGAGGGTTGCATAGAAAGCGAGGAAGAGAGGAAGAAAGATTTGAAGGAGAAGATGATGTGTTTAGTGTTTGTGTGCGGGGAAGATGAGAGGGTGGTGTGGAGGCAGCCAGCACCGGGGGCGTGTCCTTAGTAAGATTTGAGGGTGGTGTGCGGGGAAGATTTGAAGGACTCCTTACTGCAATTTCTGTCTTCTTCCTTTCTTCTGTAAGACCAAACGCACCTATCACTGCACCATCTACAACAGCCGAATCCGAATTTTGCAGAAGATTAAATATGATGATATTGTTTTTGTTATTATTTTTTATTTATTTAATGATGTTAGAAGAATTATGTTACTATTATTTATTGTTTATTATTTATAAGATAAGATATTGCACTTGGAGAATAAGTTTTTTTTTTTCACGAAAGGATAACCAAATTTCTTTTGTTAAATTTTTTTTTACAATGATCAAATAAAGTTTAGAAAATATATAACAACAACGATTAAATAAAGATTGAAGACGATCATAATAATTAAATAAAAACGATCAAATAACGATTAAAAAATTCTACAATATCAATTAAATAAAGATAAAAAAATTCTATAATAACTATGACGATCTTCGTTAGAAGGTAGGGATATTTTACATAAATAGTGATAACCTTTATTCAAAGATTGAGATATTTTATAACAACTAAACCCAGCTCGAAAAATTCTACAATTATAACAATAATTAAATAAAGGTCAAAAAATTTTATACTAATAACGACCTTTATTAAAAAATTAAAAAAATTCTGCAACGATTATATAAAGGTTCAAAAATTTTATAATAACAATAATTATTAAATAAAAGTCAAAAAATATTACAACGATGATAATTTTTATTAAAAAGGTTGAAAAATTCTACAAAACGATAATAATCAAAGGTAAAAAAAAAAATTCTACAATGACAACATCGATCAAATAAAAATAGAAAAATTCTATAACAATAAAATATAGGTTAGAAAGTTCTATAACGATCACAACAATCAAATAAATGTCTAAAAATTTTACAAGAACCAAATAAAAGTTAAAAATTTTTACAACAACGACAATTTGATAAAAGGTCGGAATATTTTATAAGGACAAACATTAAATAAAGGTCAGAATACTTTACAATGATGCCGAATAAATAAAAGATTGGAATATCCTATACGACGACCCAAAAAAAGATCAAAATAATCTACATGAGTTTGAACGTAGTACCCATATACAATTGGAAGTTGATGCGCAAAAACTTAATATTAACATTAATGATATAAATAAAATTGTCACTCTAAATACAACTTATATCACGTTAAATTAATCTACTCCAACAAAACTAGCAAGATAGTACGTTTCAATACTAGTATGATAGATTTCTCAAAACTTTAATATTTAATACTT